GTTACCGAAACTAACTGGCGAGCATTTCAGGGAATTCGAGTAGCACAAAGCGAAACTCTACTAAGAGCCAAATTTACATTTTTCTAAGTATGTTAACTATAAGCTTACTAAAGTCCTAAAAATTGAAAAGAAGTATTTAACAGACATTTTTATAATATTCTGTAACACTTTCATTTAACTAGACAATACACAATGCGGTCGGTTATGTGCTGACCACATCAGATTTTTTTTGTTTTACTTCATACACAATGGTAGTATGCAATTATGCCTTATTATTATTATAACATTTACTTATATGAATTGAAATATTTGTCACTTCTTGTTCTACCGATATAAAAACAAAGAAAAATTTTCATATGTAGATGAAAAAAAAAATTATCTTTTAACCCTTGAGACATAACACTACACAAAAAAAAAACTAAACGAAATAATTTAAAAATGGTTAAAAAACAAAGAAAATCGTGATTCATGTTTTAAGATTTATGCGACCTATGCACATAGTGAAGGTTCAATAATTTTCTGAAATATTTTACTTTTAATTTTCTTTTCTTTCGGGTTTTTTTGTTTTATTTGATTCCAAATTCAAAACAATTTTTAAATCATCTCTCTCTTTAGCACTTTACTACACATCTGCGCTAATATGCACTTCAAATAGTAAAAAAATTTTTCTATTCCAATATTTACAATCATATAATTACTAAAAATCATAATGTTTTTATTCGTTTTCTCTTTCTTTGTAGCACTTTTCCAAAAAAAAAAATTTGAAAAAAACATAATGCTTATTAGTTTCAGTCTGTTCATCCATACGTCCATCCATCTGATTTACACTTCTACTAAGAGATAGAAAGATGAAATTTGAGATAGAAAGATGAAATTTTTGTACATAAATACACTCTAACTTAAAATTTATTTCTTTAGAAGAAAATTTTTATCTATATCCCCCCGCTTTAAAAGCTATAGCTCTTCAAAATGAAAAAATGCCATTTTTTTACTAATAATTTTACTTTTTGAACTACATATAAACTTGTCCAAATTTCGATAAAAACGAAAATGTAACAGTAAATCAAAAAGTATAATTATTTTTCTTAATTCACTAACTGTTCAATTCAACCATTATGATAACGTTTCTTTCAAGTTCTTTTTTCCTCATCCCAAATGTATGCAATAAATCGTTTTATTTTGGTATATGAATGTAGTAATTTAAATAATGAAATGTTGTATTAGATTGTTTTTAAAAACCGTATTTTTAATTGTTTAAGAGAAAAGTCCTTCTCTACAAACCATTAGTTTGGCTCAACTTTTTTACATTTATGTAAAAGAAAATTGTATAATGAGTTTGTTAGAATAAATTTTTTATTTAAGTTTAGAAACACAAGCTAATTGAACTAGAATATAGGATACTGATTATAAAAGTTAAGCATATTTTACATGAATACCTTATGTACTTACACCACTTGAACTTATTCAGATGATTTTCTTTGTTAATTAATCCACAAGAGGTTCAAGACAGAACAAAAAATTACGGAATTACTTCTACAAATGTATGTTTGTATATGTATATTTTGGAAAAAAAAATTAAAATGTAAGTATTGAATGAACATGTAAAATTAACAGCTCATATGCATATTTATGACAGAAATTGCAAAAATCACATTTTTGATATCAATAGTTTAAAAACTTGCAATAAATACTAAGAGTACCTTTTTCATCCCCTTTTTTTCTCAAAAAGCATTTCCCTTTTTCAATTGTCTTCTAAAAGTCCATTTAAATTGTCCATCTTCGGGGTTTTTTGGACAGATATCTGCATATTGACTTTTATGTACGTCAATTGCAACCTGCTAGAAAATATTACAAATTGAGAATTTACTCGCATACACAATATTGAATTATAATCATAAAATTAAATGAAGTTATCTAATATAATTTTTTAATTTTTGCATTTATTTATAATGTAAATTTCAAATTGAGTTTCAAAAATCTGTTCAAATTTCCCTAAAAAACTTTGATTTTTTCTTTAATTAAAGCATTAAATTTAATGTGACGAAAACATGTGTTCCTTTCCAATCAAAATGATTATATAATTTAAATATTAATACTTGTACAAAAGACTACTAATTCAGGATTTACAATGAAAGATTGTATAACTACTCTAATTCTCACAAGTATTATTTTACAATGAAATTTTAAACAGATGCATTTAATTTATTACAGTCAACACTTTTTTTTTTTATTATTATGTTACAAAATTTCGATATAATTTTTACAATTTTTTTTTACCGGCGCAAAATGCAATTACTTTAAATAAAAATTATACTTAACACCATTTTCTATATAAATACCTAGGTATACCTATACATACTTAATAATATAGGACCAGATGATATTTTGTCTATTGCAAATATACAATTAAAGTAATTAAATGAAAAAAAATTGCAAACACTAAAACTACACATACAAACAAATTAAAAAAAGTGAATAAATAATCTGAAATTTTGAAATTCCCTTACAAGTTCCCTTAATTTGTAAGAATTTTTTCCTGCAATTGCTATGGCTAGCTTTCCTATCGTACATCCATACATACATATTAATGTATATAAATGTTTGGATTGACTGACGGATTCGTGTGATAAAATTGTCTTTTAATTTTTTTTGTTTGTTTTTGTTTTAAATTCAAAATCAAATTTCAATATCATAAAATTTAAAATACATAAATTTATACCTTTTCATTCTTTGAAACAGAGTGTAACAAACCCCTTGCTAATACTTATATTACAGAAGACGCATAATTTTGACAGCTGTTTACCACAAATTTTAACAATTTACGTTATGTATGTACCTAGCTTCTGCACTAAGTTCTATTTTTCGGCAAAACCACTTAGTTCTATTTTTGGGGAAAACGACATAATGAAAAAAAGAGTCATCCAATTAGTACATAAGGTTATAATATCACATATATGTATGCACATGTGTAGTTTAATAATATTCTGATAGTTTTATCACATAAAAATATCATATGATGTGTTACGATAGGATACCATCACGTCTATACGTTCTATTCTATTTAAATTAAACAAAATAATTAAATAAAATTTTATAGATTTGTTAACAACACTACTATTACACATTTAGTCCGAAATATAAAAGCGTATTTTATTCAATTCGTTTTTATTTTAGTAAATTAATATCTTAAACTAACGAAAACTATAACTAAATCGAAACATCTAGAATGAAATGCCTGCATGTACGCATATTTCAACTACGATTTGATATAGCAATGGGAAACTGTTTAATTAAAGGCTATTATTAAAGGCTATTGATAACTGTTCATGTTTGATGTCTGCATATAATAAAATAAAAGAAATCTGTAGAATGAACTGTTTGAAATTTTCTTTACCGATTGTCATCTATTAAAATATTATAATGCTTTCAATTACGAGACACACTGTACATGATTAGTTAAGTGTTGAACTCTTGATTGTATTTTTCTCTTTATTTTCATTTTCGTGTCTACATTTGGTCTAAATCCCATATTAATTTAACAGTTTGAAGGATCACGATTTTATTTGTAAATTTTGTTAATATTTTATTCATGCTTTAATTTTAAACTTATTTACTTAAGTTGGCAATTTAATTTTAGTAATTTATCGTAAGATTTTAAAATTAAATTCAGTTTTGAAAATTTTCCATTTTATGCATTTGTAATATAATAAAACTATGTATAATAATTTGAAAAACTATACAGCTATACTATGATTTTAAATTTTTATAAAATAAATAGTAAAAGCAATAGAAGGGCTTTGATTTTTTTATTGGCACGAATGTATTATCAGTTGTCTTTTTATTATTATTCAAATAAATGCATTAAGCAATGTATTACAACATACATAATTAGGTATTTATTAGGACATACATACATACATACTCGTATATACCATTAAGAAGCACGGAACGTAGGAAAAGGACTTAATTGTTACTTTAAATACTTATTATTATTGAATAATTTACATACATATGTACATACATATTTTGTTTTTCTTTTTTATTACTTATATAGATTTATATACATAATTATGTTTGTATGGATGTAGTTAATAGTAATTTCATTTCATAGCTGAAAACTATTAATTTTGTAATTTTTTAATTTATTTTGTTCATTTTTGATTTCTTAAATTTTTGCCATATTGTAAAGAAGGCACTAAAACTACTTAATAACGGGTATTCTAGTGTAAATTGCGCGATATTAGCTCTTTTTCCACTGAAATAAAATGATCCACAAACTAATAAAGTAATTAACAATAATCGCACTTATATACATATACATGTATACATGCTTATGAATGTAGGATTCTTCCGGTTAGTGGTTGAATTTTTTGGTTGGTGGTTGAATTAATGATACTTCTCAATTTCGGAATTATAATAGTGAAGAAGAAGAACAATAACTATATTTAAACTTTTAAAGTTAATAATTTTTCACTGATTTATTTTTTAGTAACTCAAAATAACAATTTTAATTTAATTTAAATATATAAAACAGAATTTAATTCTCAATTTATATTTTACTAGTAAGAGGCACTATTTCTTGCATAAAGCAATTACAGCATGACCTTTTTAGTTTTTTAAAAGAAGTTAAGAAAAGTTATAATTCATATGAGCTGTTTAAAATTTACAGTAACAAATAAAAAGTCTACAAAAGTTAAGCATGGTTTACACTACTCAAATAAATGTACAAAAATAATGTGAAATGTACTGAAATTGTTAACAGATTAAGAAAAAGGATCCTACATGCATGTATATTTCGTATATTGTATTGATTGCTTATTTTTATTTATCTTACTTATTTTATTTATATGGTTTTAATATTACATATCGCATGTATATACATACATATGTATGTATGTATGTATATATTGAAGATTTGTCGAACTAAATTTAAGAATGCACAAATTTTTGCCAATTCGAAAAATTTTGATTTTACATTTTTATTTTTGTTTTTTTCTTAGAAAAATGACGGACCAATAGGCGCTCATAGGGTTTATAGAAAAACATCATTTTCCTGTCAGGGACGTTCTACTGGATATTATGCTGATATTGAAACTGGTTGCCAAGTAAAATATTTTATAATTAAATAAAATTTTAATATTTTAAAAAAATTTATTATGAATTATGTATAAAATATTTAAGGTTTATCACATGTGTGACGGGCTCGGCAGACAATTCAGCTATTCCTGCCCAAATACAACACTTTTCCAGCAAAGGATGTTAATTTGCGATCATTGGTACATGGTGAATTGTTCTAGAGCTGAAAGCGATTATGATGCAAACTTATTAATTGGTTAATTATTTTTTAATACATACAAATCGATTTGAAATTTTAAAAAAATTAATTTAATTACTTCATTGCATATTTTTAGGTCAGAAAGATAAACCTTTTGTTCCTGATGATGAGCAGCATTTAAGGACTCCACGTCCAGATTTACTTGATAGACCATATGCACCAGATTATTCAGGAGAGTCATTTAGGAATCAATATGAAGTATGACTTAATAACTTGTTTAAAAACTTGAAAATTTCTTGTAAACTTAAATATGTATTTAGCAGGTACCTCAAGTGTTAAATCAAATTGATGGCTCAGATCAAGATGAAGACAATGCTGCTAAAAAACATTTTCAATTAAACCCACCACCTTCTTCAACACGTTGGAGGATATCTGTACCTAGTCGAGATATACTTCCACCATCATCGCAATCAATTCGTCGAATGGACGATGTAGATGATATTAATCCAGATTTAGGTACAAGTTTTAGTTCAAATTATAATACATCAGCTGATGTTTCTAGCGAAGAGGATAAATTTCAAACTGTTACAAAGCCATCAACGTCAACCTCGACGACAATAAATAACCAGAAAACATTTGTGACCAAAAATCAAAGTTATAAACCCACAAATAGCCCCACAGTATACAGAAAACCAACTATTACTACCACAACGCAATCCCCGAAATCTTTCCACATTACAAAACAACCAATTTCAAATGCAATATCGGAAACGGAAATCAAAGTTCCTTCAAAACTTTATGAACCCCCATTTTTATACCCAATCTGGAATGAAAATTACACCGCATCTGAAGAAAGCAAAACTAGTACTACAGAGAAATCTGTAATTTCTACGACAACTACCACCAGAACACCATTTCGAATAATATCTACTTCAGCACCATTTTCAGTATTACCAACAGCAGCTACAACGGCACGTCCAATACCTCCTCCTATAACCAGACCAACCACTTCATCCGGCAAACCGTTTACTCAAAAATATACCGCTTCAACAACCTTATCGTACGAATCTGCTACAGATAAATACTCCAATTCTTTGGAAACTTTACAACAATCAGAATCTTCAAATCGGGCACCTACATCTTTTAATAATTATGATTTTTCCAGAATATCAAGTAAAACTTCTTCAACTTCATATAACTCAAAACCAACTACTTTACAATTAAAAGAAAGAAAGACGTCAAATACCCAATTATTAAATCAGAAACCCATTGTAGTTGCCTCGCAACCTGATGAAGCTTCTAATGAAAATGAAAACATTCCAGAATCAATATTCGACTATAACATTCCTCAAAGCCAAAGATTAAACACTCCAAAATCTTTCTCTAAACCAAGTAGTGTTGCATTAAAATCAGTTACAGGGCAAACATCCTTAAATGAAGTTGTTACACCATCTCTAGATCTAGTTCCACCTTTTCCTGAATATATTCAACATGATATTGCAACAACCCAGGGTCCACCAATATATTATGACTGGAAAATCCCATCAAATGCTCTGGAACCACCCAAATTAGACCCCCCAATTGGAACAGAAGGACGTTTGCCAGAATATGAAATAGAATTCAGGAAAAAACAAAAAGGAAATACTAATCAATCTCAGTTACAAGAACAAAAACTTCCTTTAGAACAACAGCAACTTCCTTTGGAAAATGTTTTGCCAACTTTTCTACCAGACGATTCACATTCACTTCAGGACTCACAATTAAAACAAGGTTCATTTGGTAAAAAAATACAATTACAAGGTATTCCGCCTGAAACTCCTAGTTTAGATCTTCAACCACCATTTAGTGATCATCTTGATTTTTCGTCAAATTCTAACGATTCTATAAGCGAAAACAACAAATCATTTCCATTTTCTCACAATCCGTTCCTATCTACACTAGCCACAAAAAGTCAAAGATCTGTGAATTCTTCGACAAAAACACCAACATCATCTCCAAGGCCATTTTCAACAAGTAATAAAAGAGAGTTAATTTCAGGAAATCATAAAAAAAATTCTCCAGCATCAGAGCTTCAAATTCAACAACTTAAACGACAATTATCTGTTCCAGACTTTTTATTTCCTTTAGAAAATGGTAGAACTGGTTATGATTTTAATGAATCAAAAAATTCTTTTCAACTTAAAATACCCAAGCGGAGAAGTGACGATAAATCAAAATGGTACGGTGAAAACCCAGAATGCCCCGAATGCCATCCATCTTTTGCAAAACCAGGAACATGTGAACCATGTATAAAAAGGCGATAAGTTCTCTACCTATATTTTAATTTTCCTTAATAAAATATATACATACATTGTACTATGTATATGTATATTAAATGAGCATCATTATGACTAGAACATTTGTAACCATAGCCAAATTAAAAAAAAAAGATAAATTGTGCATGTGGAACCAAGAACTGTTCACATTGTTTTCATAACTATTGCAAATTATTGACCAATAAATAAACAAAATTCCAGAATATTGGCGAATATTCAAAAAAGCCCTACGCAAACTAACTGGATACATAATTATTCTATGAAGCAATACTAATAAATTGGGTGCACATATATATGTACTCGTATGTTCATATGCACCACATAATGTGCGTGTACATACATACATACATACATATATGTAAAATATAAATTTGCAAATTTTATATGAAAAATTCATGCGCATATATGAATATCTATGTATGTATATACAAGGAATACATAAATATGGATTAAACAATATTGCTTACAAATCTATATACAACTGCAATATTCATTTATGTACATACATACATACATTTTTTGTAATATTGTATGCTTCACAAGTTTTAATAAGTTTGTTAAGTAAAGTCACAAGTATTCATTTCTTTTATATTTAAGAATAATCTTATTTAGTTTTATATACGTGTATAACATTTAATATAATTAAGCATACTTATGTATATAGGATAATTCACCAATTTAGGAAAATTTAGGCATTACTTCCTTACATTATTACATCGATTAATAAGAGATCTGAATGCCTTACTAATTCATAAAATTTTTTCATAATTTAACTGAGTTATAAATAACTAGAATTTACTGTTTTTAAAGTTACTCGCACAATTGTATAAAAATGTATTTAAAAAATGCGAAATTGATTTTATATTAAAGAATATTTTATTTTATTTTCCATATTTTTAATACAATCAAAATGTAAAATTTATTAAAAATCATTTAGTTGTTAATTGTACTGCATGTAAGAAAACCTGTTAGAATTAAAGATACATATTTATAATTACGAATATATTTTTAAAAATAAAATAGCGTTTGCAAAATCCATTAATATTAATTTTTACTTACTTATATTTTAAGTAATTCTTAAAATTCTCGGATTTATCTTCTTTCCATAGAAATTCGAAAAGAATACTACTCGAGGGACAAGTTGAGCGTGCATAACTCAAAATTAACTTTAGATCACCTTCTCCAGATTAGCTCTATTTATTATAGGAAATCCTTAAAACTGTTCCGTTTTTTTTCTCCTTTAATAAAATTATAAATCCTTTTTTTCTTAGTGAAGCTTCAATTCAATCAAAATAAAAAATTAGAAATAGATTAATTTATATTAAATATTAATAGCCGCCTCCTTTCTGAGTAGAATTTTGTTATGAATTCGGTCGGATCATTAATACACTCTGAACATGTAAATCTAAGGTTCTGATTCTGAGATTACCAGCTAACATGTTTATATTATGCCATTGTTTGGTATTGTAATTAGAGCGAGTCTCGACTTTGATTAATTAGCGGTGTAGTGTCAAATTTTGCACGTGGAAAGATGTCAAAAATATCCATTTCATTTTTTATCGTCATTCATGACTCGCTATTATGTAATTTATCGTCATTTATGAGTCGCCAGCGCTTTACCGGACTAAAAATACATTAATGTATATAATATGTACATATTATGAAATAATTTATTGCCATGAATAGGAAATGAAATGAATTGCAAGAACGTTCACCTTTAAGTCGAACAGAAGAATTTGATCCTTTTTTCCATTTTGACTCTTTTGACTGAAATTGGCGAAAGAATAAAGGAATATAATTTCAGATTTTTTTTTGTTAATTGCTAGTTTTTTTTGTTTAGATAAATTTATTTGTTTTGTAATTAATAATGAAATATTTATTTTAAAGTAATTACAGATTACTTTAAAACATTTTATTATGGATATATTTCTTGTTGGCAATTGGCATTTATGTTTTTACAGCTAAATACGCAATATTATGAAAAAATAACGAACTGAAGCTTGTACTTTTTATTAAATTTTTGACAACCTGAAAATTTAAAAAAATTAAAAAATTGAAAAACAAATATGTATGCAGTTACCGTCAATGGTTTATGCTTAGTAATTGAAATTAAAAATTAATTCTTTTAATGATACAAAAATGATAAATAGACAGTGTCATTATCAAATTATTAAAACGTGACGGCGAAAAGCATTAAAATAATATTTAAAAGTATCCATAAATTCCTGTGTTTACACAACGACTTTTGTATAAATAATTGTGGTGCGTTTCTTTCCTCTTGCCATAAAAACTTTTCAAAAAGTATAAACAGATAATAATGCGATATGCAACGTTTATACATCATGCATTTTTCATATAGTTTTTTTAATCTAACGCAAATTTAACGAAAGTTAAATGTTTTGACACTAGTTTTTGTTTGATGAAAAATTTTAATTTTTTTTCGTTCGTTTTTTTTTAAATCTACTACGCAGTTTCAACGATATAAAAAAATTATAAAGACTCTAGATGTAAAATAATTAACACATTTACATAAAAGGACTTTTAAAATACTTTTGAAATAACTTGATAAAAAAATTACTAGCTATCTTTATTACAGTAATAATATGCGGTTAAAAAAAGCGTCGATTTATTTCGCTTGATTCTGAGCAATCCTTTTTTAAATATGTGTATATGAAGTCTGACATTTCGCCGCGGCAATCGATCTTGTTCTGTTTTCATCATTACAATCCAGGCCTGGAAACTTGAACGTGTATTTGCTGTCAGCCGTGACACATCATATTTTATTTTATGAATATTTTTGGCAATTAAGTTTCGTAAGCACGACTGTATCATATACCAACTTAATAAGCCTGACATATTTTAGCTGAATTTGAATTGCATAATCTAGCTTTTTTGACGTTTATTCATAACTTCCAAAATTTTTCATTATGGATAATACATGTATTCCTGTTATATATGTTAAGTGTCAGTCAACCTAATATAAGCCAATAACATATTTTTTTCTTATTCTTTATCATTTTAAACTTGTCATAAAATTTCTTGCATTGTTGAATGAGACATAAAAAGTTAAAATGAAATATTTAAATAGTGTAAAACCCACAGTTAGAAAAAACAAATTTTTGCAATATGGCTTACCATTTTTAATTTTAGTTGTTGGAGGTTCATTTGCTTTAAGAGAATTTACAAGTATTAGGTAGAGTTTAACATTTACTTTCATTATAACTAGCTAAAATTGTTTAATTTAAGATACAAATACTCAAAGAAGCAAACAGTTACACCAGAAGAAGTGGAAAAGTTAGGTGTTAAGATGAAGGATGCAAAGGAAGTTACATTAGATAGTGAATTTGAAAAAATTAAAAAATTGGATATTGAAAATTGGGAAAATAAACGTGGTCCACGACCATGGGAAGAACAAACATGATCTTATAGAAAATATTTAGGTTGACAAATAAATATGTATAGTTATTATTCAGTTTATTCCTTTTTTTTCTGAATTCCGCAAAAATTAGAATCATAAGGATTTTTGAAGAGCACCATTGCGAAGTTGAATTAGTATAAATGACTAAGAATGTGAACATTTGTCGTTACATTTTTAGTACAATTGAAAATCAAAATTTCATCAACAAAAAAAACTTTTATTTAAATTTTTTATGAAACATTTTATTACCATTCAGTTATGGTATTATTCTAACGTATTCATCTACAGTTATCATATGTATAGTGTAATGTATATTTTACTCAATTTTTTTAATTTTTTACAAGGTTTTACATAACATAATTGTTTTTATCAATATTTAATAACAGCTATAGTGTTGTAGTAAAATAAAGAAAAAGTTGTTATTTCACCTAAAACCAAGTTGCTTCAAAATAAAATCGGATGAAAGGATAAGTAGGTTAAAAAGAGACAACGATTTCTCATGCTTTAAAGTAGTTTCAAATTCTAATAGCAATAATTTTATTTAAAGATCATCATCCTCATTACCATCATCCCATTCGTTAATTATGCTTTTAATTTCTTCTTTTTTAGATTCCGGAGATTTTTCCTTAGTTTGAGGCTTTAATTTGCTTTCTTCAGAACTGCTACTTGTTTTATGATCTTTCTCAATTTCAACCTCTAGATTTTCTTCTTTGATTTCGCTTTTATGCTCATTTTCCTCTGATTTAAATTTTATTTCATCTTTCAGCAATTCACAAGATTTTTCATTTTTTTCAATATCTGACGTTTTAGACTTTTCTTCGTCTTTGTCACCATCGCTTTGATTTTCTGTGTTATGTGGTGTAATCGTGCCGATGTTTTTATCAGTATCAGTATTATCTTCAACTGGCGTATCTTCCTCCGTGGCACAAATTGGTTGTTCTCTTAAAACTTTTTCTTCATCATCTGATTCTCCCGAATCCTGTTGGGCCACCAAAGAATTATCTGCACTTTCCGAATCTTTCTGCGATGTTATTTCCGGCGTTTTTTCTTTTGTTTCGCTCTCAATTTTCTCATTTTCTTTATCGTCCTTTGAATCAGATTGCTCTTCTGGCTTATCTTCCAAATCTCCCTTAAGGATATCTTCTATATTTTCCTCTTTCTCAATGTTTTCGTTGTCTTCACCAATTTTCGAATGATCTTTGACTTCTTTTTTAGAGCCGTCGTTTTTCTCCTTTTCCAATTTATTTGAAGTAGATTGACTGGTTAATGAGTTATCTACTTCCTCATCTTCATCATCAGTCCAATCGTTTGTAAGCATTTTTAATCTTTCATCAAGCTCATCTTTAGACACTTTCTCAACCTTTTTTGTTTCCAGTAGTGGTTGAGTCATCTGAGTTAACTAAAATCAAAATTAAATTTCAGTTTCTTACCTGTTTTCTATAAAAATAAAATATTTCACCTTCTCTAGTTGTTCATCTAAATTCTCATTCGATTCATCCAAATCATCTTTGTCAACTGGATCATCAATTTTAGTATTCTCTTTTCGGGATATTTCAGGGGGTTTCCATGCATTTAACTCCTCTTCCAAATCATCAGCTAGAGTTTGATTTTGTTTATCTTCATTTGAATCTTGAACTGCTTCTTCTTCCATAACCTGCTCTTCTACTTGCTCCGTAGTTTCCTCAGCGATATTGTTCACATCTGCAATATTATGATCGGAATCTTGTTCTGCCCCTTCTTGGCTAGCATCATCATCAGTATTATCTATAATTTTAGCTGTCACTCTTTCGCTAAATGACTCATCTAAAACCATGACTACACCGTCTCCACCTTGTTCTAATTGAGACATTATTTCAGCTCTTTGAGCTGGGGTCAATTCCATAACATTACCGTCTGCATTTATGAATTTCGGTTCACTCGTCATTCCAGAAGAAATTGTTGGTATCAAGTCTGTCGGCTGCATAATTTGACTATCTCGACCAAGCATTTCCACTAAATTATCTGCATCAAACTGTATATGTGAATCAGGTTTTGTAATTTGAGTCAATGATATACACTTCGGTAGATCAATATCAGACAATATTTGAATTTTTGAACCACTTTTTGCATCGGTCATATTTTGCATTTTCTGCTCATATTCTTCATATGCTTCATCTTCTTCAGAAAAATCAATAACGCCGTCATCACGCGCCCGTTCTTTGTGTTGATCTTTCATATGATTGTAAAGCATTAATTCTGTGGAAAATGTTTTATTGCAATAAATACATTGTTGATTATCCTCTTTAACTTCTGGATGAACATCATCTATATGCTGATCTAATGCTTGCATGTCAAATACAATTGTGCCACAATGTTCACATTTTGGAAAACTTATAGATGTGCGAACGTCATGTTGTGTAAACATATGGAAAACTAATTCCTTTTGATTAATTGAGCGCCAACCACAGTGTTCACAGAGTCTTGGATCGATTTTCTCTTTATGCGTATTAACTAGATGTCTTCTAAAACCTCTATATGATGGAATACTTATAGGACGACCATTCACTCCACAACGCAAACATAACCAAGGTCCTAGAAGATAAAAGTAAAAATATTAAAAAATATTTCGAAAAAAAATTTATTTAAACCTGTTGTATTTTCAGCGCCTAATGCTATCAATTGTTTCATAGTTTTACTATCAATTCTTCTCGGCTGATTTGGAGTAGACGAGGTTGAAACCGCAGCAGGCTTCTGTGCAACTAGTTGTGAATTTTTACCTGACGGAGACAAGGATTCAGATTTTATTAAGGTCGTTGAAACCGCTTGGCTCATTTTTTTTGGAGAAACAGGTTCTGTTTTGATTGTAGGAGCAGTGGAACGTTGTTCACTAGGCTCCTGTTTGATGAAAACCTTTTGAGCTCCACCACCGCTAGTTGTGGGCATGATTTTTAATTTAATATTTTTATTGTTTTTTATTAAATGTGGATATTTTCTGAGCACTTCACTTATAATTTTCGCATGATCAACATTCGATGAAGAACATTCCTTAACAACAATTGTAGGTTTTTGTTGAGTAGAAGAGTCACTTTTCCTTAAACTAGCTTGTGTTTTTTGAGGTGATGTCTGCTGCACATATGTTGATTTAGATGTTGTTGGTCTCGTATTTTCCTGAATACTAGTAAACTCCTCATCATCGTCGTCATTATGAAATTCATCATCTAAAATACTATCGAAATCAGGTTCCTCACCATAATCTTCAGCAATTTGCTTGCGCATTCTCTGTTGCTCAGCATATTCTTTAACATCTTGAATATTAGGCTTTTTTGTTGGTGGTGATTCTAATAACGATTGAGCCGGTCTTTTGTTATTATTATAACCAGTTTGTCTCAATTGTTCGAAGGGTGACGTTTCACTTCGACCGATCTGTTCCCCGTAATCTACTTTAAGGGGTTTGCTTTCATATGAAATGTTATCAAATGTTGGATCAAATGATGTAAGTGATTCACCTGCTTCATATTCAAATCTGGTTGGACCTTTAACTGGAACAATTTTTGATTGAGATTTTGACAAAATAGTTCCGGGTTTTAAATTGCTTGAACTATAAGGCTTAATTTGCAAAGTTTTATAAATTGATTCAGAGTTACCTAGAACTGGTCGATTTGTGCTCTTTTGCTGAGAAGGTTTAGTAATGCTTGGCATCGCTGTTTTCATTTGTTGAAAACTGCTTGTTTTCGCAGGCTTCTGATTTTTTGGCTGAAAACATAATTTAATTGAAAACTTTAGTTTAGGTATAATCAAATATATATAAATATACACAAAATTTCAATTTTACATATAATGCGTAATTGTTTTCGTGTTTTCATAAGAAAGTCGTCGCAACTATTCTTGGCTTTCATTGCAAGATAGATAATGAGTGTCAGAAGTTTGGATGTACATATTGCATACTAATTTCTATTTTATTCTATTTGGAGATTATCCTAAACATTTTACTTACTTTTGTTTCCATCGTTCTTCTATGTGCCTCCAATAACTTCAACAAAACGGTCATGTTCATATCTCTAGCAGTTTTCAGCAGCTTTCCATAAATTTTTAACTCGAATTCTAATGTTCCTGTATACATAAAGTTTACAATTGGTACAACTAAATCAGCCTGAAGTTCATTCGGCATAATTAAAACATCATCAATCATTTCACAAGTTTGTTCTAAGACATTAAAATAGTCCGTACATGCATTAAGAACTAATCTATGAACTTTTAACTGCGAATTATCATTAAATTGTAAAGTCAAATCGCAATAATCTGTCTTATTAAAAAAGTTTTGTAATTTCTGGAGGAAGAATACTCCCCAATTATCCACTTTCACTGATTTTATTTCACCCATATTTTCCAATTTCTTTGATTTCATTTATATTTATATATGGAAAGGTTACTCAATTAAAAATAAAAATTTAACATCCCGAAAACACACTTTATACTTAAGGCTCCATTTATTATACTTATGTACATAAACACACTACAATCAAGGATGTTATGGCTGCCACTCTTGTTGCATGCAAAACTTTACATTTATATTAGTTTTTAAACCAAATTAACGATAATTTATATTGTGTTTCGAAAAAAAAATATTAAATTATCTACTCCCTTCAGTAATTACTTGTATATAGCACAATAAAAAAGTAATTATGTCGTATGTACGTACTAATAAATATATGTATGTGCATACATACGTAGCCGTATTCGAATAATTTATCAATTACAAAACCATCAAATCTTAAGACGAGCAACTTTCCAATATTATTTTGCTCCACAAAAGCAAAAACTATTTTTTATGTACTTAAACTTAAACTATTAATGTAATTGTTTTGAAATTCGCAAAAAAAATATAAAATCCTAGGGAATTTATTTTTAAAACTGATATTTTACTGTAAACACCTCTCCTTAGGGACGCTAACCTAAATAACATTGCCAACATTTAAAAATATGAAAAATAGACATGGCGTCCATTTCATGACGACGATGCATTTTAATCCTATGTATTGGCTGCAATGACAAAATGACAAAAAAAAAGAAAATTTCAACTTTTAGAATTGTGACATGCTATTCAATACCTACTAAATTTAAAATAATTTATTCTTTAATTCTGTGTTAATATCGGAAAGAAATTTTTTTGATAACAAATTTTCAAAAATAGTTTTACACTGTTTTTACGTTTTCGTATATATGTACATATACTACACCATCCGCATTATTTCAAGACAATTTTGAACGTTTACCATTGTAAACGATTGAGATTATCTTATTTTGCGTTTATTGCGTTAGCTTCTTTACTGATATAATATGAACGGCAATGATGGATATGGAAATTATTAATATTCCGCTGCGTCATAACCATAGCAACTTTAACTTGAGTTAAACTTTTTGACATATGTAATTATGGCAGCTTACTTAAAGTCGTCTGTAATAAAAAAATACATTTCAATTTAAATATTATAATTAAATGCCAATATAACTCCGAAAACACACAATCCCCCTATTGTAAATAAAAAATACTATTTTCATCAAATCAAAAAAAAACACCTTATTTGCGCAGATTATCAACGCATATTTTCAAGATATTCTTTTTGTGGTTAATTTTAGTTACTCATAAGCAGTTTTAACAGGTAAATTCTGTACCTACAGTTTACACAAAAGTGCTGTCAAAATTTATCCCACTAACGTCAAATTTTTAATTTCAAATAAGCTTTTTACAAAAAGGTCTCAAACTAGTAACAACTCTGTATTTTTAAATAACGATAAATTTTTGAATAAAAAAGTGAATTGTAAAACTTATCGACAATCGAGAAAACATTGGGTAAAGACTAAAGACGCATCCAAAACAATTTAAAAATTAACTTCTATATGCTTAAATATGACTGATAAAAAGTTTAAATTTGCTGAAGGTAAAAATATGTTAGAAAATAATTTTATAAAAAAATTTAAAGATTATTTTTATTCAGGTGAGAAGGTTTTGTGTTTTCATGGACCTCTCATATATGAAGCAAAAGCACTAAAAGTTAAGGTACAGGATAAACAAATAAAATATTTAATTCATTACGCTGGATGGAACAAAAACTGGGTAATTTTTCTTTTATTTCATTTAACAATAAACTGGGTAACATTTTTTTTATTTCATGAATCAATAAAAAAATTTTGTTTAAAGGATGAATGGGTTCCTGAAAATCGAGTTCTGAAGTACAATGAAGCAAATGTCCAAAAACAACAGGAAGTTTCAAAACAACATAAACTTGCAGCTAAAAATAAAAAAAGTAATTGTTTGTAAAATATTTTCTTTATGGCAAATAGTAGTGATTTATTTTTAATGTAGGTGCGTCAAAAGGGAAGAAAGATTCTAGCAGTGACTCAAGAGCGTCAACTCCTTCTAAAGAAATCACAACCAAAGATGTGGGAGCAACTTCTACACCTTCAGGTCCTATACGTGGCAGACCTATTAAAACAACTGGAAACACTGGTACATCTAATTCAGCAAATAACTCCACAAGTGCAACATCCAAAGAGAAGGATAAAGAAAAAGATTCTAAAAAAGAGGACAAAGAAAAAGAAAAGGAAGAAGAGCCAAAGTAAACTTTTGTTTTAAAAAATAATTTTTTATAAATATTTATTTTCTTTAAGGAAAAAACGGGGGAAAATTGAAAACTCTTCTGTAGAAACTGAAGAACAATTTTTGACAAAAGTGGAAATAAAAATAAAAATTCCTGAAGAACTCAAACCATGTCTTGTAGACGACTGGGATGCTATTACACGTCAACATAAGTTAATTGAAATACCTGCAAAAATTACGGTGCAGAAAATTATGGATAGTTATTTAGAATACAAAAAATCAGCTAAAACAACTAGTGCTAGCAAAGATATTGCTGTTAATGATGTAGTAAATGGACTTATTGAATATTTTAATGTGATGCTGGGCTCGCAATTGTTATACAAATTCGAAAGGCCACAGTATTCCGAAATCTTGACTCAACATCCTGATAAACCAATGTCGAAAATATATGGAGGATTTCATTTACTTAGATTATTTGTAAAACTGGGTTCAATGTTGGCTTTTACACATTTAGACGAAAAATCAGTGCAAACTTTATTAATTCATTTGAACGATTTCCTTAAATATTTGGTAAAAAATAGTGCAACTTATTTTAGTATGTCAAATTTTGTTAATTCAAGTCCAGAATATCAACGACAAACACAATAAAAATTTGTATTATAAATCACATATTTGTGCTCTAAGCCTTGTTTTATGTATTCCTAAAAATAAACAGAAATAAATACCTGTAGGTTAGTATACGTTAAAAAAAAGGCTTAATATTATTTCAAGATATTTTTAATATAAAAAACAACTAACAAGTTTAGAAACATAAAATACTTTTATTAACTATTTTAAACGAAATATTTCGAGATTTTCGTTTTTAATCTTCGTCGTCCGAAGAAGATGATGGCCAATCTATTTTACGTTCCATTTGTCGTTCTTCTTCTGCTTCTTTCAAGTATTTGTCTTGAACTTCAAGAATTTCTTTACTGTCTTTACAACTGGCGTATTTATCGAGTAAACTTTCATTCAATTCTAAAAACGAATGCCCCCACGAAAATTTACTCATGTAAAATTGTGCCTCCTCTTTCATTCCTGTTATATACATCACAGCAGCAATTGCTTCAACACAACTCAATTGACAGGGCTTTCCATAATTAATTGGATTAGCGGCAACCAAAAACGGCAATAGTCTTGGATGAGGACTTCTCATTCTCTCAAATGGGGTTTCACTTAATTTTGCCCAGGAACCTTTTATAAAAATTTTCATAACATAATTTTACATAATATTCATATTACTTATAAAAAAAAATATTCTTACAATCTACAACTGCAACTCCTTTTTCCTCCATAATGTTGCGGTCCAATGGGCTAACACAATTTCTTCCAACTATTAAAAACCCACATTTGAAAAATAAACTATATATGTACAAACACAATTTTGCCCTAACCTGGTGTCAGAAGTAGACCTTGAAATTTTTGTCCTAATCTTAAATTGCTTATTAATCCCATTCTGGCTAATTTCCTGCCACTACATTTCTTTGGATCACAATGATTCAAATCCCACATCGCAACTGGAAATGTTGCAGGTTTACCTGCAATTTAGATTACATATAAAAAAAATTAACTAAATTAAATAGATACTACGATCTATCAAACAAAAAAAAAAACAATTTATAACCAGATTCAAAACGATTTTGTTCATTGTCTTCATCGGAGCTACTATGGTTGACTGTTTCAGCTAACGTTTCCGCTAAGTTTCTTTCTTTTCTATGATTTGGTTTGCTATTTCTAAATTTTTGGTTTTTCCTTCCTTTGGAACTCATTTTTGCAATCTTGTGCTTGTAATGTTACTAAAATCGTAGTATTTGTGGTATAGATATGTAGTTAATTTTGATTGAAACCGAAATATTTATCTACGGACTACGATAGTTTTACTCTACAAATTGTAAACAAAATAAATTTCATTCTCATATGATCGCAACTCACGAGGCGAAAAATTTTTTGAAAAGCTATAAGTCTTACCATTTTTTATAACAAGTGACAATTTAAAAGACATCATGTTCGTTAGTTTACAACACAAGATTTTATATTAATTTTCGATCAAAATATGTCAAATTTTGACATTAATGAAGATCAAAACATTTGACATTAGTCGAAATCAGCCTTAATCAGCTGTATATCTTTATTTTTAATCAACAGATGAAAGAAAACTGATTGAGTATCATACATTCTAATTTTCGAGTAAGATATTTTTGTATTGTGTATCTCATTTTTTTTCACAAATCTTTTGAGAAAAATGAGAAATTCAATTGGAAGAATTAGAAATCTGCTTAAAAAAAAGACAAGCCCTTAGAAAAAAAGATAAGCCCTTAGCCTGTTTTGGATATTATAGAAACAGTGAGATATGTTTGGCGATTAATATTAAAAATTTTAAACTAACTATTTTTCCAAAAATTACATAATATTATACGGCTTTCATACTTTATAAACCGAATAAATCGTGCACTGTCAAATATTAATAGACTGAATAAAATGGAACAACGGCAAGTCCAAAATAATAGAGATTTTCATATTTATAAAATTATATTTAATATGTTGATTTCTAATAATTACAACAGCATGTACTAGGCAATAGACACAAGTACTCGTACATATTCGCTTTATGTTCAGGTTTTGAGTTTTTTAATAAAAGTTAATAAATTTTGCTGCAGATTTTATGAGTTTTTAGTTAAAATAAATTAAATGTAAAAATGTTGACTAAAGTTTATGATGCACCAACTGTATTTAAGTATCTAAACGGTGTCTTAGCGGTATATAAACCAGCAGGGAAAAAAGTTATACATGTGCGCAATGCGATTCTACACAACATATGCAAAGGTAAGTAAAAAATAAATGTTGCTTAAAAAATATGTTCAAACCAATTTTAATCACTTTCAGAGCTAAATGAATTAGAAATCCGGGAACCTAGAAAGCTTATGGCCATAGCGCCAGGAGGATCTTATGGACAAATTTTAAAAAATGTAACTGATTTATCAGACGATATATTAGCTGTAGGACCTCGTTATAAAATGGAAGATTTTAAATTTAGACCTGCTGTAAATTTAGAAACGTACACAAGTGGAGTTTTATGTATACTATTTTAAAATTACTTAAATATTTTAAATGATCAAAACTATTATTATTTTAGTATTAGGATTAAATTCAGGAGTTAAACTAGCAAACAAAATTCAAAAAGCAAGAGCAATTAGGGCTTATTGTGTGACAGGAAAATTAGGAACAGCAACAGAAAACCATTTAGCCGATTCTGCTATAACTGCTCGAGCTACACACAAACATATTAGTGCAAGTAGATTAGCTTCCTTGGTTGCTTCATTACAGGCCTCCCACCTTCGAAAAATGTATGAGATGTGTGGTGTAGATATACAGTCTCAATCAGCTTATGAATTAGCTTGTCAAGGATTAATTAGGCCAGCTAACAATATACAACCAGTAATTTATTCCATTAAAGTAATTAAGTTTAGAAGACCTTATTTTACTTTAGAAATTCATGCTATCAATGAAACGCAATCATACTTGGCAACCTTAATTCATGAAATTGGTATTGAATTAAAATCCGTTGCCCATTGTTGTAATTTGCAATGTATTCGCCATGGTAATTTCAATGTAAACGACACATTATTAAGAAAGGATTGGCATTTACAAAATATAATTGATAATATGCATCATTGTAGGAAATTAATAGAAAGTAATGAAAATTTTACCAATCAGGAAAATATAAAAATTACTACTGATCTTTAACGATGAAAATTCTAAGGATTTGACGGTAATGGGTTGAAATTCAGTTTAAAGATGTTGAAGCAGATAAAGCCATTTTCATCAGGACGATGGGATTTCGTTAGTTGATTATATTAAACGTAACGTTTATTAAAAAATGTTAATTGGTAAAATAACAAATACGATATCGAAGTGTATTGTTTTATTAAAACCATACACGGTACAATCTGAAAATTACAGGCTTGTGGGGATAAATCATCTCTTTTTTTTTCTTTCAAAAAATTAAGTTTGTACATGGAATTTAAGAAACTTTTCGAAGTTCTTGAAACCGGAAAAAGCAAGCTTGTGGGTAGGTTAAAATAACAGCTCTCAACAAGCCACTTAATACGTTCTTATGAGTCAAGAAAGATAATTTTTTAACATCATAAATCTGCAAGATAATTAACATTTGTCAAGATTTTTTTAAATTTTGAAATTTTTTTGAAAACCTATCAAACGTATTAGATTATTTATAGTAGAATAATATTTAAGATTTTTTAAATTTTTTGAATCTATTTTAAAATAAATTCAATGCATACATATTTGATATTGTTGTTTCTTTTATTCTGGCAATCCACTACTAGGGCTGTCGTTTGACTTTTTGTATGGGAAGCCGAAAAAAAAGGAGCCAATTTCCATATTTCATATAAAAACGATTTATTAACATTAGAGCACATAAAAAAAAAGAATCACGAAAATAAAAAATAAATAAATCCACATTAAAATCTTAAGCTTAAAATATATAATATTTTTTATATGAAACTTCATATACTGTAAGCAGACATATGCATTTTTACATTTTTTAAAGTTTGGGCTATAGTGATTGTATAAATTGTAATATTTTCGTTTATTGTGAAAATCTTACACAAACAGATTTTATCTGTCGACGCGTTTTCAGAAGTTCGGTTTTTGGCACTTTATTTGGTTAATTGATTAACTTGTACATAATGTGGTTAATTGATTAACATGTATGTACCTAGACATTACAAAAAATCATTTCTGTCAGCAGTGATATGTACTTAGCTTCCACTTAAGATTTTGAAAACAAATTTATATTGCACAAAAAGTTTTTTTTTACTTTTCAACTGAAAATTTTTTATAAGAATAATTATCAACATGTTTTTTTGATTTTAACTGAGGAAAAAGCAAAAACGAAGTCAAAATGCAAAAGGAGGAACCGGCGTCATATATTTTCAAATCGTAGCCAAATGGCTCCGATTAGAGCCAATAACAGCCCTGTCCACTACTGTAATTGGTCCTTCAACGCATTAAAAAGATTTTGATAACGTTTTTAAGTTAATAACAGAGCAAAGGCGATTTGTCGCGGCGAAAAGTCAAAACTCATGTTGAATACATATATGTATTTAAATGAGTTCTATCCTAAAATTCTTATTTTACCACTGGCGGTTTTTTTTACATCATCAGTTTCCGTGTGTATGTTATATTAACCGTGTTGTTTTGCTCTGGTTTAAGGCCTGGTTTTTTTAAAATTCAAAAGAACGTTTCGAGTTTTGAATTTTATAAATTTTTTAAGTTGGTAAGTTTACATAAAATAACGTTTTGATTTCTGACATTTAATTTTTATATTATAAATCTAAAATCATAATTGTTTAATTTTTATTATGGCAATTTTTTTGAAATAAAAATTTTTAAGTAAATTTTAAAACGTACCTCTTACTTTGATTTTCCATTTTTTATTTAATCAAATGTCATTTACTCTATAACAACGTAATAACTAAAAACATTTAAAACAAAAAAACTATGTAAAAAGCGTAACAAATAGAATTAGACTTGTAGATTTGTTGATTTGTACAACGGGGGCAACAGTGCATCGCGACTACGTATAAGAATCTATTGTGCACCCCATCCGAGCGGGGGCATGCCCTACAACACACGCTCGAGATCCACTCAAGCAACTTGTGAGGATAAGGAGACCGTTCCAACACCATCCCCCTTCTATGAGAACAAACAGAATTACTAAATATTTAAGATCTGGATAAAAACAGAATTATCCGGCATTTAAGCTGTCATTTTTTTCATATTAAATTATTTAAAAAATTTTTTCATATTATAAAATTATAAGAAGATTCGTGTCCAAAATAAAAATATGTTCTAAAATTTTTCAAGTGGCAGCACTTTATAGTTCTGGAAAATTCTTCATATTACCAACATGAAAAATGGATTTTGTCAATTGTCAGTATTGGTTTTGTACTATGAAAAATTATAAAATATTTGTACATACTAATTCGAAATCACATTTTTAAAAAGTCTCTCTGAAAGTGAAGTGCTGTAACTGGTTATTGATCAAGTTTTATTTTATATAAGTGGAAAATTATTTTAATTACAAAAGAATCGTTTACTTTGTGTTTAAAATTAAAATCAATTAAAAAATGTAAGTAATTATTTTTTAAAAACATTTATTAGGTAAAGTTTTGTAACAATTGATTTAAAAAAAAAAAATGGAATGTTGCAAAATAGAAAAAGGGAGATTTCATCGTATCAAAAAGTTGCATTGAATTGTAAAATAAAATATATCTACATTTTTTCAGTAATTTTTGTAAAAATTTATTTATTCATACATATATATATAAGTAGAATAATTACTAAGAAAAATTTTATTTTTTCATCGCCATGAGTTAAGAATTTTCTAGATTGTTCTTTCAGCATGTGTAGTGTTCTTTAATATTGATTTAAGTGTATATTTATATATATACACTGAATTAGATATCTTTATACATATATTATACTTGGAATTGTGTACATATATGTATGTGCGTTTGTGAACATTGATTTTATTAAAATTTTTAAATGGCGTCTGCCATTTTTTTTTTCTTTGTGTATGAGTCAAAAATGAAAATGCTGCATAAGCAAATTGCGTCACTATATTAAAATTTTCATTGTACATGCATATCGTGTGTAAAAAGTAAAATTGGTTTATCTAGCTTTTGAAGCTAGTTAAATGGATTTCAGTTAGAATTTAATAGGGAAATAGTTACACTTATATACAGAAATACATACATAGATACTTGCATGTGTAACGATTCGCATGTAATGCAGAAGAACAACACGTGATTGGTATTTCAAAAATATATTATTTTACAGACCGCATTACAGATTTTTTGTAATAAAAGAAAAAGATTTTTTTTTTTTTTAATGTAAAGGCATTGTCTAAAAATATGCAACATACGAATATATGTACATACTCATAAGTATGTATATACTTATAAGTATGTACATACATATGTACATACTTATAAGTATAAGTTTAATCGATAAGCCCTTAATATTTTTTTTTTGTTGAAATTAATTTTAAAATGTACTCCAATACAACTACACACATATATATCTGAATATTATAATTATTTGTTTTTCTTAATGTTGATTCGAAATTTATTTTGAATTTCAGATTAAAATGTCTAAAGCTCCAGCTGTTGGTATTGATTTAGGTACAACCTACTCGTGTGTTGGTGTATTCCAACATGGAAAGGTTGAAATTATTGCCAATGATCAAGGTAATCGGACAACACCATCATATGTTGCCTTCACAGAGACTGAACGTCTCATTGGGGATGCCGCAAAAAATCAGGTCGCCATGAATCCTACAAACACAATTTTTGACGCAAAACGTTTAATTGGTCGCAAATTTGATGAAAAAGCTGTTCAATCTGATATGAAACATTGGCCATTTGAAGTTGTAAGTGTTGAAGGAAAACCCAAAATCGAAGTTATGTACAAAGATGAAAAGAAGACTTTCTTCCCAGAAGAAATCAGTTCCATGGTTTTAACCAAAATGAAGGAAACTGCAGAAGCCTATTTAGGAAAAACAGTAACGAATGCTGTTATTACTGTACCAGCTTATTTTAATGACTCACAACGTCAAGCTACTAAAGATGCTGGCACAATTGCAGGCTTAAATGTTTTACGTATTATTAATGAACCAACTGCTGCTGCAATTGCTTATGGTTTAGATAAAAAAACATCTGGTGAACGCAACGTTTTAATTTTCGATTTGGGTGGGGGCACCTTTGATGTATCAATTCTCTCCATTGATGACGGTATTTTCGAAGTCAAAGCAACAGCCGGTGATACACATTTAGGCGGTGAAGATTTCGACAACCGCCTTGTCAATCACTTTGTTCAAGAATTCAAACGCAAACATAAAAAAGATTTGACTTCGAATAAACGAGCTCTTCGTCGTTTGAGAACAGCATGCGAACGTGCAAAACGTACACTTTCATCATCAACACAAGCCAGTATTGAAATCGATTCCTTATTTGAAGGTACCGATTTCTATACTTCGATTACACGTGCCCGTTTTGAGGAATTAAACGCTGATTTATTCCGTTCAACCATGGAACCAGTTGAAAAGGCAATTCGTGATGCTAAATTGGATAAAGCTGCTATTCACGACATCGTACTTGTTGGAGGATCCACTCGTATTCCAAAAGTACAACGTCTTCTTCAAGATTTCTTCAATGGAAAAGAATTGAACAAATCTATCAACCCTGATGAGGCTGTAGCTTATGGTGCTGCTGTACAAGCTGCCATTCTTCACGGAGATAAATCCCAAGAAGTTCAAGATCTTTTACTTCTTGACGTTACACCCTTGTCGTTGGGTATCGAAACAGCTGGTGGTGTAATGAGTATTTTAATTAAACGTAATACAACCATTCCAACTAAGCAAACTCAGACATTTACGACTTATTCGGATAATCAACCTGGAGTTTTAATTCAAGTTTATGAAGGTGAACGTGCTATGACCAAAGATAATAACTTATTGGGTAAATTTGAGTTATCAGGCATTCCCCCGGCACCACGTGGCGTACCACAAATTGAAGTTACTTTTGATATAGATGCTAATGGCATTTTAAATGTAACAGCATTAGAACGCTCAACTAACAAAGAAAACAAAATCACTATTACAAATGACAAAGGTCGTTTGTCCAAAGAAGAAATTGAACGAATGGTTAATGACGCCGAGAAATACCGCAGCGAAGATGAAAAACAACGTGAAACAATTGCTGCCAAAAATGCTTTAGAGTCATATTGCTTCAACATGAAAGCTACGATGGATGAAGATAACCTTAAAGATAAAATTTCCGAAAGTGACAAATCAACTATTTTAGAAAAATGTAATGAAACAATCAAATGGATGGATGCCAATCAATTAGCTGAAAAAGAAGAATTTGAACATCGTCAAAAAGAATTGGAAGCTGTTTGTAATCCAATTATTACCAAGTTGTACCAAGCTAGTGGTGGTGCCCCACCAGGTGGAATGCCAGGTGGCTTCCCAGGTGCTGGTGGAGCTGCTCCAGGAGCTGGAGCTGGTGCAGGTGCCGGACCAACTATTGAAGAAGTCGATTAAATATGCGGTTGCAGAAAGAGCCAATGCAGTATTTTTGCATATATGAGAAACATTAAATTTTTGCATTTTATTTTTTGTTAATGGTTTGTAATAGCAACTCCAAAATGCTTAAAACTGGGCTGTTCACAAAATAAAAATAGCTAAAATCATATTTAAACTTTTCTTATTTAACTGATGCTTTCATTTTTTCAAAACGTAAAAGTTAAATTTCTTTCCATTTAGGTTATTTTTGTTGTTCTCTAACGTAGAGAAAAAACAGCGAAGTCCTCGAAGTTTGACCTTACTAAAAATAGACTGTGGACCCCTCAGAGCTATAAGGGGTGTTATTGATAAGGCCCTACTTCCACATTAGTCATGAAATTCAGAAAATTATGAATGTTATATTTCAAATTTCTAAAATTTTCCGAATATTTTTAAGAGTAAAAAAATTACGTTCGTAGAACCCTTTAAAATTGTACGAAAGAAATAATCGCAAGTAACAAGCGATTTGAAGATATTGGTCAAGATTTAAATTTTTTGAGAATACCCCTATAAAAGCTACTTGGTAAAAATACCAATAAAAAAATGAATAAACATTTGACAGTTGATTCCGAAAAATGGTGCTACCATTGCTGATTCATAATCTCTAGGAAAAGAATTTGTGATCATTTAAAAGCAGTGTTGCTATATTACCAATTTCAATGCAAAATTTGGCATAATGGATTTTAGTTTTGCATTGAGTTTTTTAAAGATTGTGCCAAGAGAATTTTTGGCATAATAGCATTTTAAAAGAGAATTGAAAAATCTGTAGAAAAAAGTTTTAAAGGTTTCACTGCAAGCTTTGATTGTGCGACATATGTATCACATTTATTTTATTTAGCAATTGCCTCTGATTGAAATTTTGTAAATTTATTATTTCTTATTTTGAATATTAAAAAGATGGTTTCATTTATTTATATATTTATTTATAGGCTGTAAGTTAAAAAAATAAAAGTTGTTTGTTTTTTAACTAAACTCCTTTTAGCTACTAAGTTTTTGAAATTTGGCATAAAATGTGTATTTTGTCTAATAGTGATAGACACATTATTCGACCAAATATGACTGTTCAAAAGTGTGTGTCGTAGCTAAGTTCGTAATTCGTAGTCATATGTATATTTTTTTTTTGTGTTATAAGTTTATTCATATTTATAGACCCAAAAAATTGAAGAAACATAAAAGAGAAAAAAATGGTTTTATAAGTTGTCCAACTGCCGACCGCTAATAGTTGTCGATTTTAACTGATTTAAATATTTTGTTTCCTTTTCTCTTATTCTTTTTTTTAGGTAAACAGTGACAAATAAAGCAAAAGGCATTCGGTAAAGTTTATTTTAAATGGATGTAGGGGTTTTTAGTTTTTCAAATGAAAGAAAAATTTGGTTGATGCACGTGATTTTAACGACGAACTCAATAAAGCTTTTGCTGTCATTTAATAATTTTTTATACTTAAAGTGTGAAAATTATGTGGAAGCTCCGTTAAATTTGAGTGTTATGATTAAATCTGAAAACAACAACGCCAATTCACTATTAAGTTCGCGCGCTCTTAGGTAGTAAACGAACCCAGATCTATTTTTGAATCTGTTCTGATATAAAAAACGTTAACATGCATACATAATTTGATATTTGATTGACTTTTAACGAAAATGATTGCATATAAAATATCACACATTTAGCTTATAATATTCTTAAAATTTTCGTTAAGTTTTGGAAACTTTTCGTTGTATCTTACTGTAGTTAGGTTGTAGTTTGCATAAAACTTAAAACCTTTTAAATTTTTGACATTCAGCCTTAAGTCGATTATAGTTGAAATTAATTTTATATTGTTGACTTTTAAGGATTAATTAGAAAATAAAGGTTATTTGACATGTTGCCCAAGTTATGACATGGCTAGTCCCAATAATATTTCAATTTTAATTATTTTAATTAAAATTTATGAAATTTTAATTTTTGTAACATTTTGATTTATTTGGATTTGCTTGTGATCGCTAACAATCTGTATTTTATTTTTGTAAAATATATAAAATTACATAAAATTTCCGTATACGAATGAATTTTTGTTGCTATAAAAACCGTATTTTGTCGAACCTAGGACCATAAAACCAAAATATTTTTGTAGTAAAAAAACACATAATTTTTTTTTTCTGTGTCACTTACTGATTTCTTTTAATACATAATACAAAAAAATTATTCTACACAAATTTACCCTATGTTCTCAATAAATTACTTTATTTCCTTTTTTAAGAAAACTAAAAAGAGATGACTATAGATATTTTTGTTAAAAAATTTCACTCATTTCCCCTCAAATTTCATATACAAACACAATTTTCTAAACCATTTTATATACTCTTTTTTTTCATCTTCTTTTTCAAATATAATTTCTACAGCTAAATAAACACAAGCTTAACAGCCTAACTGGCACTGGTGTATGTGTATAATTATTTTAAACATGAAATACACTTGCATATTTCAATTTTCAAATACATTTACATACAGGGTATATACGATTAGGTTATTTTATTTAATAAAGAGCATAAAAGAAAATATAGAAAAATTTTAGTAAATGAGCAACTTTCGAAAATATTTTTAGTCTGCAGTTGGGCTCGAGTAAAGAAAGTAGAGCTAATCAAAGCTCGGTTTTTTTTTGTTTTTATATATAAAGAAAAAAAAAATAAATAAAATTAATTTTTTCAATTTTTGTGATAAAGAATATTATTTAAAAAAAAAAAACATCAAAATTAGAAAAGAAATAAAACAATTAATTATATTTGAAAAAAAAACTAATTGAGAAACAAATTATAAAATTAATACCAAAAAAAAAAAAAAGGAAGTTCTTATCTCGTGAAAAATCGATTCATAAAGAGAAAGAAATAAGAAAGGAAAAATCGTTGAAAAGAAAAATTTGTCTTTGTTTTTTTTTTTTTTTTTTTTCAAGTGCCAAAGAATAAAATATATACATATATAAATATATATATATGAGCATAAATATGTATATATCTTGTAAACGCAAGGGATAATAGGACAAAACGTCGGTTTATATTCTATTTCATTCTAACGTACATATTTATGTGTATACCGCATTATATAAAAAAAAAATATATATATGACTATTGTTATATATAAGTATATATATATATGTGCATTCATATATATACATGCATTAATATGTGTATTAATAAAAATCGATGAACACTTCAAAACCGGAATAACCAAAATTTTTATGGATAAGAATTTCATTTCTATTATAACGGGAAAATAAAGACTGAGCTCAAGAACATATTAAACGGGTTACAGAACAACTAAAAAAAAAAAAACAACAAGAGAAATAAAACGGATTAAATTTTTTTTATCATTCATTATTACTAAAAAGAAAAAAATTAAAAAAATTAAAAAAAAAAAAAAAGAAATGTTTTTTATAAAGACTGAGTTCTTGCAGCCTATACAACACTATAATACATAAATATAATAAAAAATTAAAAATATATATATATAAAATAATAAAATAAATACATTGTTAAAATTTTGAATAATCTGTAAATAAAAGTACATAAAGCCACAAATTACACGCCCTAAATAATAAAAATAAATTTAAAATAAAAATAAATAGATTTATATATCTACTTACATACATATATATACTCTAATATGCAGATATGTATATATATGTAAATTAAATAATATAATAATGTAAAAATATGCTTTTTGTTTAAAGTGAATAGTGAATAAATTAGAAAAATTCATTGGATTACCAAACACAAAATTACAAGCAACAAAAGAAATTAAACAAAAAAAAAATAATGGTCCCCTATTCACCGTTTCTTCTACTTTTTTTTTTTAATTTGAAAATTATAAAATCGAAATAAAATTCAACAAATAAATTTAGAAAAAAAAAAATTATATTTAAAAAGTGAATTAAATGTTCCTCCTTGTTAACAATTTAAAAAAAAATGTGTGTTAAATAAAATTAATTAAATTAAAATAAAATAAAAAAAAAATGATATATTTTTGCAAAATAAAAAAAATTAAAAACAAAACAAATTAAAAAAATTTTATTTAAAATAGAAGAAAGAAAGCAAAGAATAAAAAAATAGTGCCAAGAAAGAATGCAAATTTGAAGAAAAATAACAAAACAAAAAAAAAATATTTTTTTTTTATAATTTCAATTACTAAAAAAAAAAATTTAAAATTAAATTTAAAAATAAAAAAGAAAAATTGCTTAATAAACCAAAAATTCAATAAAAATGATGATGGCTGCATGTTATGCCAATTATGATATGTCTTTATCTCATAATTTGCCGACGCAACATGCTCATCATGTTCATCAGCATCAAGAACATTCACAACAACATCAACAGCAACAGCATCAACAGCAGCAACAATCTCAACATCAGACTCGAATATCATCAGTTGCTGAATTATTAGCTGCGGCAGCATCTTCATCAATTGTTGCACAACAAAAAGATTATAGTATACCATTACATGTCGATTGTAGTGTTGAATATGAATTACCAAATCAACCAAAACCTCCGGCTGGTCAACGTATTGAACCTTTACTTATGATACATCCATGTTATTTTAGAAAAATGGAAAGTCAAAGACGTAGTCCTTTTATTAATAATATGCCAAATTCAACAAGAAATAGTGCTTTAATATTATCTACATCTTCATCATCTTCATCTTCGTTATTAGGATCATCATCTTCTTCAACATCATCATCAACATCATCATCGTCAACAGTTAGACGATCTTCACAACGTCAAACACAACAACAGCAACATGTTATAACGAATTCATCAACAGCATTAGCTAATCAACAGAGTCAACAACAACAACAACAACAACAGCAACAACAATATCATTCACAAAGTTTGCATTCCATTCAAAATTCAAATCATTTATTAAATCAACAGATACAACAACAACATTTATCACAACAGGCCCGTTATCCTATTATTTCAAATATACAATCTCATCAACAGGCATCAGCATTAGGATCATCTTCGTCATCAAATGTACAATCATCAGTAACATCAATTACAAATAATGATTATAATGAAAGAGCTATGAGACGGGCTACAATAATTCAAACAAGAGCTGTAAATCAACAACAACAACAACAACAGTATCAACAACAACAGCAACAACATCAACATCAAAAACAACAACAAATACCTCAATGGGATAAAATAGCTTCAACATCTTTAGGTATGATATCTTCAATTTCAACACATCCATCAACTACAACAGCGCATCATACGTTACCATCATCAGTGGCATCATCATCAATAGTTCCAACTGTTAATTTAATAGGAAAAACATCAAATTATAATAATAAACCGGTTGGTAAAAGAGATGCTATGATATCTGGTGAATGCAGTAGCAATAATATTATTACAAATAATAATAGTAATAATAATGTCAACAGTAACAACAACAATAATAATAGTAATACCAATAATAATAATATTAGTAACAGTAACAACAATTGTAACAACACCACTAATCATTTAAATAATAATCGCAATAATTTTAGTAATCAAAATAATAATAATAATAATAATAGTAATAATAATAATAACAATAATAGAATTAGTAACAATAATAATATTACAAAAATTAATAATGGTAATAGTGCAAATTGTACATCACTAATAGATACAGCAACTAATTTACGTATGTGGGATGCATCAAATTCTTTAATTGTTCATCGTAGTCCAATGGCAGCTGTTCCTAGTAATTATCAAGCTGGACCAGAGACTACATCAACTTCAATAATTAATAATATACCATATAATAGTACATCTTTATCATCATTAACATCATCTTTACAACAATCATCAACATCATCTGGATCATCATCATCGTCTGCTTCATCTACTGCAGCATTATTAAATCGTAATATTATTGATAATGATAAAATTAATGGAAAATATAGACAGTATTTAAAATCACATAGAATTCATCCATATTTAATGTCAAATACAAGCAATTTAGGTTCAACATATTCTCAATTAGCATCTGTAACTAATTTTCCACATCATCAACAAATGCAACAAATGTCTTGTTATAATGTATAACATTAAAATTTTCTTGCAAAACAAAAAAATACATACTAAAATGAAATTTATTAATATTAAAATAAAATATCCAAAATAAAAAAAAAAAATTATTTATTCTATATTTTAGTGATATTTGGATATAAAAATTTAGTGATATAAATAGAAAAATAAAATTATTATTGAAAAAATAAAAATTGCAGTTGAATTAAAAATGAAAATTATAGAAAATGAAAAAAAATATTAATAATTAAAATTAATTGAAAAATATACCAGAAAAGTGATTATTATTGGAAAAATGAAAAAAAAAGATAAAAATTTCAAAATGAAAAATTATATCCGAAAATATAGAGAAAATAGTTTAGAAACAAAATATGTATATATATATATATATATAAATGTACATGCATACATACATACATATAATTAAAAAAAAATAAATAAATATAAGTATATTAATAATATTGTGTATTATATTTGTAATACAATTATTAATAATAAAAAAATTACTGAAAAGAAAATATTATTACCTATATACATGCTTTAACAATGAAAAAAAAATTAATTATTGCATAAATATATAAGCATACACAATATATACAAATATATATATATAAATTTAATTGAATAAAAGTGATTAAATAATTTATATTGTTAATAATAATACACAAGAATACATGTATAAATGCATAATGGAAAAAAAAATTAAATAATGTAAATTAATTTTTTATGTTTGTATTAAAAAAATAATTAAAATTTAAAGTTGAAAAATTTCTGGTAATTTTATTTTTGTTCTTCTTTGTAAATAAAAAAAATTCATCAAGTATAAAAGTTTTTTTTTTTTTGCCTTATTTTAAAAGTTTAAATAATAATTCACACATCATATATATATATATATATATGTATATATTTATTTGTTTAAGCCTTAAACACACATGGATAAAAAAAAATATACAATATTTAAATTATTTAAGTATAACAAGAATAATATTTCAATTTTTTTATACTACAAGCTTTTCAATTATTATGTGGATTACATTTTATTCATTAATGGATTAAAACATGCAAATCAACTCTATATTACTTAAAATAAAATTATCGAGGTAATTATAAAAATTTTTTTATTAATTGTATTGATTTTTTTTTACTTCTTATATAGTATATAATATAACAGTCATACTTGCTTAATACCGAAACAATAAAAAAAATAGGACGAAAAATGTCATTCCTTTATGTTGAAAAATTTTTATGTCGTTTCGTTTAAAATTATAGGAAAAAAAAAAAAAGAATACTTAGAAAGGAAAATTTTAATTTCATTTACAAAATTCACAAAAAGAATATTAAAATTTCGATTCAATAATGTTCGGATATCAATGAGAAGCATTTCTTTATTGATTTATAATTTTTGACATTAATTGACACAAAATTTAACAGTTCTGATTACTGTAATTTATTATTGCAATTATTGTTCTTAGTTGGGTTAAAAAGCTAACTATTCAAATTAGCTAATAATTTTCAATTTTGGCATATACCTATATGATATATATACATATATGTACATATATAATATATATACATATATGTACATATATAATATATATGTATAAGTATATGTATATGTACGCATATTATGTTAAATGTGGAAACAACCCCATAATTTTTGGGAATTTTAATATTTTATAAAAAATATTTAATAGAAACGGTAAAGAAGTGTGTAAGTGATCTTTTAAATTATTACTTAAATTTAAATTTTCCATACAGTGAATTCAATAATTATGACTTTTTTTCCTATTGAATAGAACTAAATTTCTATTAAATAGAACTAATTATTCTATTGAATATAACTAAAATTTTCAAGTTGACTGGTATATGTGTAATAAGGGAATTGAAAATTTTACAAGAATCACTTAAGTAATTATAATTTTTTATTTTTACTTAAAAAGAACTCACCTGTAGGTAATTCCATACATACTGATATATGTTTTCATAAACTAGAGTGCTTGAATATATTGGGTTGTCTTTTTTTACCTGCAATAGTTATTTACGTTAGCTAATGGAACAAATATAATTTGGTAAAAACAATTAATAATTTATTATTCATTAATATTTAATAATTACGAAATTTTAATATTCTTATTTAGTGAATTTCTTGTTTTAATAACAAAATAATACTTATTTTTAAAATAAATTCAAAAATTTCCTTTCTGCAATTCTTATTTATTAAATCCAGTATATGTATTTGTGTATTTCATTAATTTTCTTCAATCAGTGATGATGAAATTTTTTTTTTTGTCAATAATATTTAATAAAATATGATTTCTTTTTTCCCTTGCTTTGGTTATCTTTTTGATTCCAAAATTAAGTATTGAAAATTTATATTAAATGAAAATGTTAATTTTAATACTTATTCATTTTATTATTAAAATTTTTTTTCTTTTCCAATTTACTAAAAAATTTTAATATACACATAATATAATATGTAAATTACTACATAATATAACAAAAGCCTACTTATATAGGAAGAATATTAAAAGTTCATAGAGTAGCTGAAAAGGGAAATATAATATTTAAAAAAAAAAAATGGTATAGAATTTAAAAATAAAATAAAAAAAATTACAAGAATATAAAATTAAAAAAAAAAAATAAAAATTATATATTACATATATAATATACATATAATAATATATACGCTTCATTTATAAAATATAATATTGAATTATTATGAAAAATGAAATAATTGCAAAAAAAAAACATAAAGAAAATTACTATATTAACAAAAACGAATGTTATAAATTAATAAATTACACAAAAACACAAGAGAGAAAGAAAAAAAGAACAAAAAATGATAAAAATAACAAGTTCCAGAAAATATAACATTTAATATTACAAGAGAAAAAAAAAAATACCGTACAATATATTATAATATACTTATATATATATATATACAAACAATATATATAAATACATATATGTAAATGCTTTATAAAATATTAATAATAATAATAATAAAAATAATAATAATATAAATAATGATAATAAAAAATATAAACTAATGGAAAATAGATACTTTATATATTAAAACTAAAAACAACAAAAAATAAAATAAAAATACAAACAAAACACGAAACAGATTTATAATTTAAATATTAAAAATATTATTAAAAAAAATATTAATAAAAACATACAAAAATCATTAATAAATAGTTAATAAAAAACTACCTACAATACTATTAAATTAAATACAATTATCAAAAAGAAAAATAGAAAATAAAAAATATTAAAATAAAAAAAAAATTAATTGAACCAAATAGCTAGTCTATATACTTATATATACTTATATTATTGCATACATATATACATATATATACTTATATATTATCTTAATAAATATACTTCTTTATAAATATAAATATATATATATATATATATATATATATATATTAAATTATATTATGTACATACTAATATATTAATTGATATATTGTGTATATTTTATATTACCTATATATATATATATATATATATATATATATATAAGTATACATATTGCAAAAGAAAATAAAAATTTAAAATTTATCATATTTATATATTGAAACGATATATATATATAAAAAATAAATTAACTTTAGAGAAAAAAATAATAAAATAATAAATTATATTACAAACAAACAAAGTATAGGAAAACCAAAATAGCTGCATCTATACTTACATATACATATATACAAAAAAATAAAAATGAAAACAAAATCAAAATTTTATTAACAATAAAAAATACAAAGTATATTGAAAATTTTTTTTGACTAATATTAGAACAGCAAAATTTATACAATATAATTAAAAGTTAGGCAAAAACAAAAAAACTAATTCAAATACCCTTTAAAAAAAAAAAAAATTAACAAGAAAAAAAAACAAGTATTTTGTGTGTCTTAACCTTAGAAATGCAATAATGCGCAACATTCATTACTAAGGTGCTGCTTGCATACATATATCACAGAATCTAAGACAAAGTCTAATGACTGGTTAGATGTCAGATTGAAATTATATGATTGAATTCAGACTTTACTTTAAAATTTAATAAATTTGCTAACAAAATAATAACTAAAATGAAAATCTGTTGATTGCTATTAAAAACTCTCAGAAAAAATTTAATTTTCGCAATTTTACTTGGCTTATGAGGATAAATAAGTGCCCATGCAGATATGCAATTTTTAATTTTGTAACTGTTTGATTCTATAAGTTTACGCGTCCACACATGCTACTGTGTGATCGCATGCAATTAACAGTTTGTATTTTTTTTACAAATTAATTATTAAATTAATTTTTCTATTTGAAATTTAGTAATTTCAAATAGTTTAGTTGCTTAAATATGCCCGCAATTAATTTGCAATCAAACTCTAATTACAAAACTAAAAATTAGATGTCTGCCGAAGCAAAAATTTCTATTATTTACATTTACATACGGCATCAGACACAGATTAAAAAATTAGATTTTGCTGTATAATGTGTAAGGAGTACTTTAAGTCCTTAAATAATTAATATTCCACTTATTACCAATTATTACGATAATAACATAATAAAGAAAAATAAATATGAATATCAAAAACTAATTAAATAAAAATAATTTTCGTTAGAAACTGAAATTATTTAATTCACAAGTAGAAAGGTTAAAAAAAAATCGAATATTTAAAATCCCTATTGATTAGTACCCCTAGATTGAATATTAATGGAAAAAAATTTGTAGGTAAATTATTAATGGAAAAAAATTTGTGCTTAAAGCTAACTTCAAATAAGTCCCACTTAATATTTCTGTTTTTTATAATATTTTTTTTATTAAGTAATTTGCAATAAATATATTAAATATTCACTTCTCTATTTTTGAATTTAATAAGAGTAATAAATAAATAATAATAAACAAAAAATATTAAAATATCAACAAAAAATATTTTATTAGATCAAAAAGAAATCAAAAATATTTTAATCAAAAATGCAAAATAAATAATTTAAATTTATAATTATTGTATTGTTGTTCAGTTTTCATAAATTAATATTCATTCCATTTCAAATACTTAAATAGCTTTAGCAATTAATGGCAATTTTCATTTGAGTACGACACGGTTAAATTTTTACATTAGAACATTAACTTCAGTTAAGTTTTTTTTATATTTACACAGTCTGCAAATTCTGAAAATTTTAAATAATCAGCCATTCGAAAATGACATATTATGTAAATGCCATTGTTATAAAAATTAAAATTTTGAAATTTTATAATTTTTAAATATAAATAAAAAAAAAAAACAACTCACACGACAGCGAAAAAATGAAAGTTCTCATGTTTCTGTCATCTATGTGTCATTTATTCTGATATTTCTTGA